TCTAGCGGAGTTCTTGCCGTTTTTCACATTTTGAAAGTAGCGCAGCCTCAAAAATCGCCTTCCGGATCGTCCGACACATTTGAGAGGTCATAGCCTTATTTTATCGCGGAATGTGCCTTTAACTGGGAAGGGAATGAAGGACCCCCCCCCTAAACAATCAGCGTTTTCGAACAATTGGCGTTTGGGTGCGGTCACCCACCGCAATGAGTCTTCAGGACACAGCCCTAACATGGAAGTCGTTTCCTGCGGATAAAGGGTTCGCTGTGCACTGAGCCCAAAAAGTACTTATAAGAGAGCAAACCTTTGGCTATAAATGCTCTGAAGGTTCACAAAGTTGTGCGCACTCCTTATGGCGCTCATACCCAAAAAAGTAAGAGGCAGGGTTGCGTATTCCATGGCAAATCTCTAACAAGCATGTCTCTGTCCCTCTTTCGTCTGAGACTTCGTCGCTCTGATGGCCTCGCCTATAGCTGCCCTCACACAGTTCTATGTTATCCGGGACAAAATCTGCACTAAATGTCTCATACTACACTTTGCGATACCTTGCATCGTTGAGCACACAGAATAACACACATCAAAAACCCAATATTGAATGTAGTCTTACTAACATTAACGTAATTAGCGTTTATGTAGTCGCCATTTGGGGAGGAGTTCAATCGTACCCTTGTGGCATCATAAGGGCAAACATCTCGGTACCTAGAAAATTATTTTTACCTCCTACTGGAGAGTATTTGTAGGGTAAAGTTGAAAATAATAATCAGCAATAGGAGGTTTACCTATTTTTATTGAGATTCGACGTTAATCGGCAGTCATTCATCGTCATACCCGGTTTCTTCCGGTAAAGTTGCTAAAGTCGAAGAAATTACGCTAGCAGGATAGGCCTGTGAGAATGGACTCCGTGCCCAAATGCCTACCTACCTCAAATTGCGAGACTATTCTACCAGTAGCCAGAGCGTCACTGAGCAGCCGAAGGGAATGTGAGAGTTTGTCGCTTCGTGGCACACTCTCAGCCACTCGCATCTGTTCCGGCAGTGCGGCACCTTCCGGTTCATCCACTTCTTCGCCGAGGCGGTATACTGAAATACGGCAGTACTTTTGAAGTGGCCATTGTTAAAGGCACGTACGGGCGCAGTGTCGGAAGACGTTTCCGGAAGGTTTGGGAACGCGCCCAACGGAAACGTCCGAAGGAAATCCTGGTCAAAGATACCCTGGTCAGAGATACCCTGGTCTCCAACATTCCGTACCCGAGTAGTCATAAGAGAGAGGACAAACTTTTCAGTTCAGCTTGCCCCCCCCCTTCCTTCGCGCTCCCCTCCACTAGAACCGCGCTTTTTTGGAATCGCTTATCACTTCCACTTCGGCCCAAGCCTCTAAACTGCCAGACAGTTCCTATATTCTTTTGAGAATGGCTAACTGGTAATACAGTGGTACTGTCAATCCATTTTCATGACGATTCCACATCCACGCAGTCACTGCATCACGGGAGTGCCGCGTCAAAGACCCATCCGGCTGTGACCGGATGAGTGGGAAAATGTAGGACCTCGTGGCTCTGTCTTCCTCACTGATGCGCTTACTCGCCCACAAGAAGACGGCACCTTAGTGAGAAAGACAGAATGGATATGGGTCTCCGCCATTCCAACATTTACCTCAGACTGGGTGTGTTAAGGCGGCAGAACAGCTGTGTTTTCCAAGGGAACAAGAGGAATCCCTCAAGGAACCCGACTAGCCCAACAGTGCACAGGGTGTGACTCTTGAAGGGACGAGTTTACGAAAAGATTGGATAACAACAAAAAAAACAGAAAGTAGAACAAACCATTGGGTTTGATTGTGAGCACGAGCTCGCCGCCACTTGGTCCAGATCGGGCGCTTCTGATGAAATCCACCACAGTGTCATGGGACATTGGCGTCACGTCACGGCCATTGATATACAGGACCTAAATGGGACACAGTAAGAACATAAAAAGTCTTTGTTTTCGCTTGAGACACGCCACGCAATCATTTTCTTGACAGAATTGTCGAATCGATGGAATACGTTGTTTCAACTTGTGTGTATATTGATACGTCACACCCAGAAGGGGCGGTGTCAGGAGGGCGGAATGGGCCTTTCTCCGGTTCCTTTTTCTATGAGTGGTGACCGGGCAGTGACAGATTCAGGAAGAAAATACAAAGTGGTATTCTATG